TTACACATAAACAGTTTTTACCTTAAATGCACATTTATTTTTTTCCCTACCTTAAATGTACATATTTACTTGTAAGGCCTAAAATGCTGCAAGGTGCTGTCAAAGCTTTCTGGAGACAATGAAATGATTAAGTTGCATCTGCCAGATATGTCCAGGATCCCTCAAATGTCATCAGCTGTTTGGCCCAGCAGATCATCCAAGGTTTAGGTTAAATGTTTTCAGAAAAAAAAAATAGGTGTTCTGGATTGAAAAAGCAATATTTCTAGCTAGCTAAGCGAGACTAACATGAAATAATTGGTTCAGAATATTTTTCGAAGTCATAGGATTCAGCAAGGCAATCACATTCACTAGAGAAAGAGATGAAATGCCACCCACACGTCTAAGGTAAAAAATAAAATCCCATTATTTCTTTCAATATTTGTTAACTTGGGTAATATATAAAGAGAATTAAGAAATTGCAATTTAGCAGACCATAGCGTTCATGTTAAATTAGTAAAAACCAAAGATTAACACTCTAAGGGGTTGATTTACTAACCTTATAAACACGCCATGAACAAGTATACACCTCTGTAGTGTGTTCCCTCCCAGCATGATCTATTGGTGGAATCTAGACACCTTTGTAGTGTGTACACACCCAGCAGGTGTGTTGTGCAAAGCTCTGCATGAATTGCAAGGTGATGTTGTGTAAATTAGCTCTACATTGTGTTGCTTGTGTTGATGAATGCAGGAATGTAAATGCATGAGCTACCCATTTTTGTCTAAACTGTGAAGCAACATTATATATGCATCATGTGCATTATTTTTCCATATATGGCATTAGTGGAAATATGCTTTTAGAGACTTTTTGGTTGATAAATACGTTTTGCTGTGTAAAAATCACACGCACCTAGTGCGTGCGTGTGTTTAGGTAAGTAAATCACCCCTTAAGAGTTTGTTTAAAGTTCAGACCCACGATGTGTCATTTAAAAAGTATGTATCCTTTGCAACTACCAAAAGTTCTCGATCCTAGAATGTTTTATGAAAAATATTGACAATACCTTTACAAAGTCATCTCATCACATATTCACAACATTTTTTTACACACACTAGATCAGATAAGATGTCTGGTTATTGCAAATATCCCTTCAATGTTACCTGATGACACTTCATCTCCACTAGATCCTATTTCTGCTGAAGAGATCCTGACTTCCCTAAAACAATTTCAAAACTTGAAAGCCTTGCATCATTATATTTCAAGAGATGCTTATGGAAATGAGTCTCATATTTATCTGATCTACCTGTATATAATGAGATTATGAAGGGTACTCCTCTTCCCATGGAGTGTCTTTAATCCTGCACCACTATGATACTGAATCAACATAATGTCTGCAAAAAAAATCCAGCCATTTTGTATTGTAAAAAAAGACTCTGAGACCTTTACAAAAAAGTTTAGCAATTAGGGTTTTCCACTTTATTGGCATTTACTGTTAGCTTTTTACATCTGTTACCTATTTACTAATGCACTTACTACTCTTCTATAGTTTGCTCTAGGAGCACATTTTTATGTTACTTATGCACCAGAGTAAATATAAAGAGGAATACACTTGAGAGGTGCACTCTGTCATCCATATTGCTATTCAAGCATTAGCTAAAGCAATATAGCAAAATCCAAGTACAGTGAGTTATAGAAAAGAAAAAACTACCAGAGGTTTAAATCCAGCTTATAAGATAATGATGTATTGGTTTCACTTGAATCTCTTGTGATGGCTGCAAGCTTTGTTACCTGCCAGTCTCTGGTCTAAAAGTAACTACAACACGAATAATATACTTACTGCGTGCTATTCTGTAATTTGTTAGACGCATTACCTCCAACAAGTCTTTAAGGTAACAGCTTTTAAAAGATTATATTCCCTCGTCACAAATCTGGCCAGATACTCTCCCTCTTTCTGGTCTCTGGTTTACTTATATGTAACTTCATCATACCTGTGTCTCATATCTTCTTTTTCTGTTGC